GGCGGGTAGATGGGTGCAACAATGAATGAATGGAATTCCAAAATCTCTGTAGATGTTCACTGAAATGAAATATAAAGAAATTTGGGGGAAAAAAGCTTAAGTCCATAATAGCAGTAGCAAGGAAAAAGTTCCAGAAAAATCAAAGTGAAGATAAATCAACACTTCATATTTTAAAGTATTCTTTCTGGGATTTTGAGTACAATAAGTAAATATACGCTGTCAATTCCTGGAGCCTTGTTTTTTGCCAATTCCTTCAGAGCAACTTGAACTTCCTCCTTCATCACTACAAGCTCTTGCTCATATGTTTTTATTTCATGAAATTCTTCTATGTTAGCCAATTCCTTCTGATACAGTGACTCTGTGTACTCCTTCCACCTTCTTTTAATGTTTCCTGGATCATTTAACATTCTACCCAAAGTATCCTTAAGCATTGCCACCCGTAGCTTGGATTTGTTTTCAACTCCTTCAGCTTAAGAAATGCTCAGCTTAAGAAATGCTGAGCGAGTTTGGCCCTTTTGATTTTCTGACTCCAGCTCTCTGCACATTTCATTATAGTATCTTGCTTTGTCGTCCCGAGCTGTCTTTTGAAATGTTCTGTTCAGATTTTTTATTTCTTGGTTTCTTCCTTTAGCTTTGGCTTCTCGGAGCTCTAATGCAATATTCAGAGTCTCATCTGACATTTATCTTGGTCTTTTCTTCTTCAGCCTTTATAATGATCTTTTGCATTCTTCATTGACGATTTTCTTGATATCCTCCCAGAGCTCATTTGGTCTGTGCTCATTGGTAATCAAGGCCTCAAACCTGTTCCTGAGATGGTTTTGAAGTAACAGTTTTAGTTTACTTGGTTCCATAGTCTACACTCTTGGTAATAGCAGCCAGGAAATCAAGAGATGAACTGCACTGAGAAAGTCAGCTGTGAGGGACCTCTCAAGAGGACTGAAGAGCAACTACATTAGGATGGAGACTAAGGTGTCTCTGATCCAGGCTACAGTCTTCACAATTACATGTTATGCATCAGAGAATTGGACAATTACTAGGGATGACAGAAAGAGAATTGATGCCTTTGAGCTGTGGTGCTGGAGAAGAGTGTTGAATACACCATGGACTGCTAGGAGAACAGGTATGTCCTGGGGAGGGTGAAGCCAGAATGCTCCTTGGAGGCAAGGATTCTGAAGCTTCCATACTTTGGGCATGTTGCAAGGAGGGACTGGTCCTTGGAGAGGGACATCATGTTTGGGAGAGTGGAGGGACGGTGCAGGACAGGAAGACCCTCGATGAGATGGATCGATTCTGTGATTGGGGTGGCAGGAATGAGGATGTCTGAGACGGCAAGGTTGGCACAAGATAGAACAGGGTTAGGGTTCTTGTACATAGGGTCGTTATAAGTCACAAGCGACTCAATGACACGTAACAACAACAAACAACAAGTAAATATAATTTCTCAAAATCATGTCAAATATTATTTGACATCAGGGTCCACTGTTGAACAACAGCAGTTAATATGATCCATTTAATAAAATCATTATGCCAGGGCTTAATTCTCTCTGTATACAGCATCTTATATAAGTGGCAGATAGAATTAAATATCTGGGTAATTTTTTTTTTTTGCAAACATGTACCATCGAATCTGATCCAACTGGCACAGGAGGAGACTGGTCCTCCTTCACCAGCAGAGCATCTGGTGGATTCAAACCACGAACCTTCAGGATTGCAGTGCAGCTTCTTGACACTAGGCCACCAGAGCTCCCTTTGGGTGAATTTTTTTTTAAAAAAAAAGCTATTCTCTTATCAATTAATAAAATGGTTCCCAGATCTTAACATATATATCTAGAAAAGAGCCAGATTTTTAACTTGAGAAAAGCTGTCTAATCTCATTGAGTATTAGCTCTAAATAAAGTCAACATGTGATACTAGCCAATGAAACAGTTAATAAATATCAATACTATCCAGATATTAAAAATCAATCCATAATGAAGCACAATGAGAAGTACCTGTCTTATCAACAGATCAATCACCACACACGTATCATATGGAACCAAGAAAGGAACTGAATGAGTCACAGGAAAGCAGGTGAAAAAACAATGAGGATTATGCAACTGAAACTAAGAGTTCTAATTTCACCCCAAGTATTCAAGAGCTAAAAGTATATAAAATCTTTATATTTCTTAAAAATGACAGGGATTTAGAAATAATCAATCTGTTCTTTACATAAAAAGGAAGCATAAACTGGTTAAATGACTGCCAAAGGTCAACAGCAAACCCAGGACTGGTAAATATATAAAATTATAAACTTAAGTTTCTAACTGAGTTCTTACAACTTGTACTTGTTACCCTTCTAATAATCTGATTTTTTAAAAGGTAATAGAAAACAAAAACATTCTAGATCACAGAAAAAAAGAAACCAGGGTGATTTATTTTTCCTATAGAAAGAAAAGTTTCAAAGACCCAGGGTTACCTCAGTTACTTTTCTTTCTACTTCTGTCCCATCCACATAATAAACATCTGTAATGACACGAGTGACAAGCGTGCGCACTTCACGGATCGTTCGCATGTGACGATGCAAGACATGGCCATGTGGAGGCTGAGGCATATCAAATTCTTCCTCTCCCTGTAATATGGGAAAAGAACACAAGCACAAGCATCAAGGAAGACTGATAGAATCACAAATCAACCTCATGGCATGCAATGTCCAGAGATGCAATTAATCTAATGTGACAAAATTTTCTGGTTGCTTTATTTTCTATTGAACTATAGGTAAGAGCTGAGATGGACCACAGGAGCTGTTCTTAACATGATCTAAAATTACTTCTTTGTATATAAATCAAAATTATAAATTCAGCGTTTATATCTGAGAAAAACCACTGACCCCTGAAAATTCTCTTTTAAGACTGTAATTCCTCTGTTTTTGCTATTAACTTTTGTCAATCAGTAGTTAGCTCTCAAAATCCATGAGTTCCACATTCTTGGATTCAAACAATCAAAAACACTGGAAGGGAGAAGCAATGATGTGGTCAAAGCAATCCCTAAAGGCAAAAAGGGAGCATTTTAAATACTACTTACAAAGCATTTCACTGTATTAGGTATTAAAGTAATAAAAATAGATATATATAGATTATATGAAAATACAGTATCATTTTATGTAAGAGACATGAGCTTTTCCAGATGAGCTTTTCCAGATTTTTTTTTTTATCAACTGGTGGGACTGAAACCAACCCCTGATGGATACCAAAAGACAACCCTGTACAAAAGCTTATGTCTCTTCTTTAGAATTTTCTGAAGAGGGCATTCTTTAGTCTTTTGTATGAAACCAGAATGACAAACCTGCTCCTCTCAGTGAAGTCCATTTTTTCCTGCGTCAGTAGGAGAATTACAATTTCTTTATAATGGAAAAAAGGAACACCTATTTTCCCAAAATTAAATATGAAATATTTTT